GATCATGATTTTATTATTGGATCATGATTTTATTATTGGATCATGATATATATAAACGACTTTTTGTTCAAATTCCTCGGAGCGGGGCTTCGCATGACTATCGAACATTGGTAAGTTTTCATAAAATAACTTGGCAGCACTGTTTCGTATTTACATTCGAAAAATCGACGACGTTTTCGCCGAAGTTTGATTTGTTGCTCGACGTGGCATGACGTTTCTGATATATAATTGTCAAATGTGCTTGGAAGTGAAAGCTGTGGTCGGATCCGCAATACTAAAAAATAAGTAATATTAATTATTAACAAATCGCTATTAAAAGACTAGTTAAGATGTCTCATAATATACTTGCCGTATTTGTCGTGTGCCTTTTCTCTGGAGCAGCTCTTGCCACCACTTGCACCAGCCCTAAAGTTAGTGTTACATCCTTTAGCACTCAGGATGCCACAATTCTTACACAAGTGGCTCATATAGGAGAGTTCTCATTGAAATGTGGAAACAATGTGCAACCAAATCTATTCGCTGAATTCGCCTGTGGAAAAATTGTACCCGTTGCAAAGCTTGGCGATGATAAATACCAAGTAAGTTGGCTAATACACATAGAATATAGAGATGTGAAATAACCACCATGTGGCATTCTTTCTATGTTTCTCAGGTAAGCTGGACGCAAGAAATAAAGAAGAGCGGCGGAGGCAATGTTGTAGTGCGTTTGTTCGATGAGGAAGGTTATGCTAATGTACGGAAGGCGCAGCGTGATGGCGATAAGGTGGCCAATGTGAAATCACTGGTTGATATCACGGTAGCTACCAAGGGAGCCTACAAAGGTCCTTGGGTAAAAGCTGAGTTGGTAGCTGCGTTGGCCGTCGGTGGTATTGCTTACTTTGCTTTCACTGCCAAGAGTAAAGTCCAAGGCTAGACAAAGCGACTTGGTTATCAATCTCACATTGTGAGATTTGTAAGTCTTTGAATGAAATTCATTCAACCTTTTTGAAATCAAGAGATTAGATTTAATGTGTAATTTTAATATCAGCGTCTAAATCTCTTTATTTACTGAAATGATTAAAAGCTCTGCTGTCACCAATTTGACCGAAAACGAAATAAATTTTTTAATAAATTAAAAAAATACTGATTGCAAACTTCTTTGCTAGTAAATAATACATTTTATAATTTCTTCACAAATATCTGCAGTACGGTGAACAAAGCATTACTTCGTACCCGTGACAATTGTGTCACATTAGCAGAACATCTCAGAATTGTTCGTGTCCGAACGCTGTACCTTCAGCAGATTACCAACAACTTCTTGCAGTGTATTTTATGTTTTGCAACATAAACGTTGTCGAGGAAAGTATGTATAAAAAGTATTTTGCATCTATGTATTTCTTTCCAAATAAAATATTTTTTATTTATTAATTTCAAGTAAAGTATATAGACATTTAAATTTTACTTCTTTATTTCATCTTTTAAACATCTACTTTTATAAAGAAACCATTTATATTGTTTAAAAATTACCTTAAAATTTATTCTGAGTATCTTTCATTAAATATTTACATTTTACTACATTATTTTTTGAGATGCTAATTTGTACCCAACTAATTACCATTCATGGTACCATCTTCATCGGATGAAATATCAATCATGCTCTCAACACGCGATGGCGACATTACATAAACAAAGTGTTCTGTTGGTCCTCCATCGGTGACCGGGTTACTCGGTATAATGGTAGCACCATCTGGTGGGGAGGGCGAAGAATCTATGCTGCAAAATTTACCGGCGTTCGAATCATCATTTGATGGCATACCCCCGCATTCGTTTACATTTTCCAGTTCCAACTCTATGTCGCTGACTATACGCATGCATCTCATTTTTGCGAGCGACTGGAATTTGGTTGGCATGGCGCGCACCATGCGTGCAAGGCTAAGGAAAAATAACGTGTTGGCATCCAAGTCGCGATTTGCCTGCAATATAGCTGAGATATCAACTTCTGCACGGTCACTCGTTTTACGTGTCTTTGCTGGTGGCGGCTGGCTGCCGTTGTTATTATTGCTGTTATTAACGGTACTGTTGTTATTCGTAGAGGGCTGCATTGCGCTGAAACTCAAATTAATGGCTGCCGTTTGTGGGGATGGCTGTACACGACGTATCTTGGATATGAGCGGCGGATTGACACGTGTTGAACTGGCCGTGGTCGTTGCAGGTGATGTTATGTTATGGAATAGACCAATTGTGGGAGCACTTAGCTCCTTCTTAAATGTGTCTGCCGAAGCAAATAACTGTGGCTCGATAATGAGGCAACCGACGCTACTGGCCGCGCTGCTCGTCGGCATCAACGCCGTGGGTTTTGGTACATTTGCCAATGGCGGCAACGGAAATATTTGTGCCGGCGGCATATTTGTGGGACCCATAGTCGAAATGGGACCCAAAAGTGGTTTGCTCAGAGGTTGTACCGGCGGCAATTGTACAGTTGGTAGGGATGGTACCGGCAATACAAGTGCGCCAGCTGCGGTTGCATTAACCGCCGGTGCACCAATACAATTAGTTAGAGCAGCAACGGAAGCAGCAGTGACAGCAATGCTATTGCTGGGAGCAATACAATTAATAGCTGCCGAATTGTTGGGCGAGAAAGCCGCAGATGCTGCAGGTACTGAAACAACAGCAGCTGAAGCTTGAAAATGTGCGGGTGTTGGATTGGGATTGGGATTAGGAGTCGATGGCACGGCAGTTACTGTGGTATTTGCGATTGTACTACATACACTTGCCGGTGGAATGGTGACCATAGTAGCCGCTGCCGGTGCTGGTGCTGGCGTTGGTGGGGCTGTTGTGCTGGCTGGCATTGTAGATGCGGCATTAAATTTTAAATCGTCCTCCGAAGAAGAATTAGTAGCAGCTTTGGTTAGTACTTGAAAACCGAAATCACACTCTGTATCCTCGGTATCTTCATTGGCTTTGTGACTATTGCTGCTATTCGAGTTGCCGTTCGAATGTCTGTAAGTATGGACACGTGCCAAAACTCTAAATTGTTGTTAATGCATTGAGGTGAGAGAATTTTAAAGTACGCATACCTGCCGGGTCCCTGATAAGGTTTTAGAAAGTCCATATGATCGGCATGAGCCCAATACTGATATTTCTTCGATGTTTTGGTGCCGACGCGAAAAGAGCGCAAATATTTGGTATAGCTGTCGCGTAGATTCTTCCATTTTCGTTTGGACGCATCTGTGGGAGGCAAAATATAAGAAAAGTATGAATTTAATGGCCAGTGGAGTATTTAAGATTCTTAAAAGTTAGTACGACTGCACTCTCTGCATAAAAATGTATATATGTATGTACATATCGTTAGCTTAATATAGAAAGGCCTTATCTCACATCGTCGCTGAAATAGCAAAATCCGCAACTAAGTAAAAATCCAAAATTCCCGTTTTGATTGATTATGATGTATTTCATAGAATTATGTGTCCCCAAATCATTTTAACCAATAACAAAATTTTATTCGGTTACGTCTTTTTTGCATTTCTGCAACTATATGAGTTAGGGCCTTTCTATATTAAGGCCCTGTATGTATGTATAGGTATAATTGTGGTGGTATATGTATTTGATATGAATACACGTATGAAGGTAATAAGATATATATATATATTTATATATATGTATATAGGTATATACATACATACATATATATGAGATATCGTTTGTTTATACATGCATCCACGAAAAACTCTCACTTGAGCTCTGTTTGATCTCACCATAGGGCGAGTCTGCCCCATCCAATCAGTCATGTCTCACTATTTAAGTGGCATTGAAGTGAAGAAAGTGTACTTGCGATTATTTTGTAAAAATTTAATAAAATGTATCTTGTTGATAACATATGAATTCAGTTTCCGATCAATCCGCTTTTGCATTTATCCAAATATCGATTTAAAATGGTTTTGTAGGTATGAGTGCCATGTAATTTATACATATTTACATGCATATTTTGCAAATAGATATGCAAATGTTATTATATATGTAGTACAGTAATATGGGTTATTCCAGGTAAAAAGGGAAAACGACGTATGTAAATAACTATGCCTATTTCCTATTTACAAATTACCCAAATTATTTTGGGGAGTGATGCAGGAGTGACAGTCCTTGGCCAGTTATAAATCCTGGTCATTACTGTTACGTATTATTACGTACAATTAAAAATCTATATTTTTTCCTATTTCTTACTTCATACATAATTACTTTACGCAAGTCACAAAGGCCTCAGAATGAAAAGAGAAATCGATTAAGCCGTGACTGTCTGTCCGTCCGAATGTCTGTGCACACGATAACTCGAGTAAAAATCGAGATTTCTTACCGAAAACTGTGATAAACCAGTTACTACTGAAGCTAATTCACTTAAAATTATTACAAGATTTTGGAAAATGACCGCGATACCGCCTACTTATGTATGTATGTCTACATACATACCTCTGTAGCAACTTTTCTTTTTTACAATATTCCCATTGTGTTGCGGGACACATTTTTTTCGCTAATTATATATAGGAATATAGAATATTTTATAAGTCAAAGTTGAAAGTTTGTGCTCAATTCAAGAAAATTAACAAATTAAGAAGACTGTCATCAAAATTTGCAACTTTTTATTCAAAATCTTTAGAAACTTATTGGGTATGCGTTTTGTAGACCATTCAATTGTAGTATAATAATGTGCACGGTTGAAAATTCTGAAAAACCCCATTGATTTTTGAGAATTTTTTTGTCGAGGATGTTGCGCGTTTTATACCATGAGCAAAATCTATTTTCATATGGAAGACCCTCAGCAAAACAAAATATTCAAAAATCAATAGGATTTTTAAGAAATTTCAAACCTGCACATTATTATATTAAAATTGAAAATTGAGGTATACCGAATTCCAAAGCAAGAACCTAAAACAGAAGCAGAGGTATTCACCCACAATTTACGAACAACTTCTGAGGTACTTCGCCAACCTAAACGGGGTTAGATCGCCGAAACAACAGCCCTTGGTCGGGTAAAACCCGAGTCATTCCGGTACGTAGAACCGGCTGTCGTGGGAGCCACAGAAGTGGCCACCCAAACAGACAGCTGCTTGCAGAGGAGCCCTCGCCTAGGCACGTCAGGAGGCATCTATATGAACTGACGGACGAAGTCCAGAGGTTGCTTGATGAACCCGTCAGCTTACCGACTGGCCCTGAACGGCATTCACAGGGAGTCAGTCTCGAGTTATGTAGACTCTAGACCTGTGAATGCCGTTCTAGGCATACCGCCCCCGGACATAGACGAGACGGAGCTTCATCTGCCTCGGGAGACGCGAACGACAATAGCACAACTTCGCTCCGGCTACTGCAGCAGGTTAAACTCCTACCTGAGTAGATTGAATGAGGATGTGCCAAATGATTGTCCGGCATGCGGAGAGACCCCACATGACTCGAAACATCTCTTCGCATGCCCGGAAAACCCGACAACCCTAACGGCCTTGCCCCTGTGGACCAACCCTACAGAAGCTGCATACTTCCTAGGGCTACCGTTAGTGGAACTTGACGACAACGACTGAGATACCAACCGTCCTGGGCGGGGTTTTTGTAGCCGCTACAACAACAACAACAACAACAACAACAACCCACAATTTACTTGCGATATACGGTGTACCTATAAAACTACACTCTGACCAAGGAAGAAATTTTGAATCGACTAAGTATGTTCCAAGAGATATGCCAGATACGACGATTCTTCATCTATGTATGCAGTGCAAGTTAAAATTTTGCTAAGCTCTCAAACAACATTTTTAAACATGCAGTAATCGGTCAAGGCACAAATCGGAGGAGAAGCTCGGCCAAACACTAAACAAACATATGTGCAAGCGCCAATCTATTGTTATTATTATTATTAATCGGTTGAAGTAAAATTTTTTTTATGTTCATGAAAGGTATGAAGCCTTCGGCATAGTCGAAGACAGCTCTGTCCTTAATTGTTGTTTAATTAATTCTCTGCAGTGGAACATTTTCCTGTATTCAGATACAAAATTAATACATTTTTTTTGTTGTTCCATTTTTAATAAAATAAATATTTAGAATTTTTAGATTCTGGCATATCAATAAACTAGGTGAAACCCAGGTTTATTCGATTGTTGAAATGCGGTATACTTGGTGTTCGAAAAATCAAGATAACAAAACCACCGCTCAAACATATTCAAAAAACCGAACGAAACCGGTGTGGAAAAACCGTGTCGAATCACCCTAGTACATACATACAGTTGCTCAAAGAAGTGTTCACTTGTTGATTTCTCCAAATGGGGGTTTCTCCAAATTGGACTTATTCATATTCATCATCTAGGCTAAGGTCAATAATTGGCTAAGCTAAGTTAAGTCGAGTTGGAGAAACCAGCTCAAAGTTTCAAACTGCATGGAAAATTTAGAAAAATTCCACAAATGTTAGAAAAATTCCACAAATTTTCATAAAAATGTCGAGCTTTTTAATCTGAATCTGTACAACACTTTTGGGTACGCAATTTTATAGCGTAAGCAAGTTTCGCATTTTGGCTAAAGCTTGAGCACTATTTTAATAGAAAACTAACAAAAAAATTTAGCTTGAAAAACATTGTGAAATTAAAAAAATCAACACATGAACACTTGTTTGAGTCCCTGTATGTAGATAGATATGGCCACATGGCGAAAATATAAAAAGGGCATAAAAGGGCGACATTTTAACAAGTTTTGACTGTGTTTCTCTTGTTTATTTAATTCTTATAATTTTTTATGTAAGTATGCCTCGCTATTCCACTAAAACTACGTAAGTCCGAAGTTTAGGGTTTGTACAAAAATTTAAAAAATTTCAACAAAACTTCATCAAATATTTGTATTTTTGCCACTGTATGGACAAATCGTCATTATGAGTGCAGAAGGCGTTTACGGAAATTTTTTGTTTGGCATTGCGCTTTCTAATAAGTATTTTGTTAGTTTCATCGCTGATTTATCGTATCTCCCTTGTACATTAATTCAAACCCTACATACATATGTACATATCGTTACCTTAATTCATTTTTTCGAAACTGCGTTTTTAACAGATTTTGTTATGATGTATTAAAATACACCTTCAATAAAAATTTTAAAGTATTGGCACCAAAAACAACGGAATTACATGCCACTTTTTAAAAAGCCCTACCAGTTTTTGATACTCTTTTTATAATGTTTTTTTTTTGCTTCTCCTGTAAAATAATAAAAAAATTTGTTGGTAAGGGCCTTTGTAAATTAAGGTAACGATATGTATGTATATATTTAGTGGAGTGTACCTTGCCGCGTATCACACTACATACATACATACATATTAATGGAAACAAAAGTTTTCCATGACAACTAATAAGGCACATTTTTTCGACAAACATTTCGATATTTCCAAATATTTTTAGCCAAAAATAATACAGGAACTAATTATGTACATATTTTTTCACCTCATTTTCACTACATATTTGTTTTGCACTATTTACTTAAAATATAATAACGAATCTTTTTTTTACTACATTCTGTGATACAATTTTCCGCGTAAATATTCGCGCTTTTATGTATATGCAATCAGATGTTTCTTATCACATTTTTAGCGGTGTTTTCCCCATTAAGAATTCATTATATTCTTTCCGGAACGTGGGTTTATTTATGTAAATACAATATAAGTCTAGAGAGGTTTTCGCGTCGACTTGCATTACTACTTGTAAGTACACGAATGTTTGGAACCCTCAATATTTGTTGGAAAAATTTATGTACATCCTATTTTGTTTTATGTACAACAACGAATGTATAAATGAATGCACGCAGATATGCACTCATGTATGTTTGTATATGTATAGGTGAGCAAGGGCAAAGGTAGATATAGTAGGGTAGTTCATTCTTGTAATATACACTCAAATTCATTAGAGAACGGTGTAAGAGAAGAAAAACTGTAACTATGCCGTTTACTGCCCACCCCAATGCGTCCAATATGAAGAATGGCGGCGCTCAAAAAAGCACAGCTGATATCATTAGGAGCCATAGTGTGGTGGTCGTTGGTATAGCAACGTCCAATTCCACTTTTTCCTCGTTTACTTGAAGAAAACAACGCTTTGCTTTTAGCAGACGTACACAACAATTGGCGCCACAGCGTCTTTGGATGAAATTCAGAATAGGAGCGCTCTAAAAGTTAGCCCTCGCGGCTCTCCGAAAACTTCATATACAACGGAACCTAC